CTTCCTTCCTTCCTTCCTCTTCTTCCTCCATTCATTCATTCATTCATTCATTCATTCATTCATTCATTCATTCATACCTAAGGGCTCTCTCTTTCTCCCCCCTCCCCTGGAATAAATGGTAGTGTATAAAAGTATTGTAAGACAACGGATTCTCCCTGTTTGCTGAAACGTGTTGGATAAAAGCGGGGCCTTTGTTGGGAAGGACTGATTATGAATGAATGGATGGATGAATGAATGGGGAGGTGGGTCCTGGGTAAAATTCATGCACTTCCTGATTTTGGTATTCATGACAGAGGTGCTTGTTGCCTCCTCAGGTGATTCCGACATGGAATATTTCCCCCATCAAGAAAGCGAATGAAGTGAAGGTTAGTCTGCCTTAAATTCACCCTCTCTGGCTTGCCCAGTTCACCGTTGCACGAAGGCTGCTTTCCCAACTCACCCTTGTGTCCTTGTTCCCTTTTCTTGGCCTTCTGTTCTCTCTGCTGCAGCCCCCTCAGTTTGTGGACATCCCCCTCGAAGACGACGATTCCTCCGACGAGGAGTACCAGCCAGAAGAGGATGAAGGGGACGAAACGGCGGAGGAGGTACGCCTTGCCTTTGCTCTTTGCGAGTGGGCCAGCTAGAACAATGGGGGAAGAAAGTCTCCCTGCATTCAGAGGGCTAGCATGACAGGGAAAAGGCTAGTTTTCTGCTGGAAGGGAATTTTTTTCAGAAGCATTCGATTAACTGGGAAAGCAGGCAGCCCTTTTCCTTTCTAACCCATAATCGAAGGATGCCGTATATACGCACGTATAAGCCCATCAGTGGATAAACCGACTGTCGAATCTTTAACCAAAATACCTTGAAAAATGTGCCACCCGCGGGTAAGCTGTCCCTCAAAATTTTCATGTTTTAATTTTCACCATGGGCTCATCGGCGTGGTATTTTGATTAAAAATTCAAGGGTCTGTTTATCCACGGATGGGAAAAACCTACTGTATATACTCATGGATAAGCCCATCCACAGATAAGCTGAACCCAATTTTGGGGGTGTATCTTGGCACCTAAACTTCTCAGCTTATTTGCGAGTATATGGGATAAGTCTCCCCTCACATTGATTCTTTGCTTTAAGTCATCCATTTTTTCACATTTTATCTTGGGAAAATCAGGCTGGGGAAGTGAACCTACCTGTGCAAAGACTGGCATCCAGGGTTCAGTATTTGACCAGCTGTGAATTGGGCACATGGTGGAAAAGTAGTGTACCATTTTCCTTCACTGTCCTGCAAGGGGCTTTTGGCTGACGGGTGCGCATTGCAAAGGGTGGGACAAGCAACTTTCCCATTAGCTCTGCCATTGTTGCCATTTCCCAGTGCGACGCAGGTAGGTTGACGGGGGAGACCAATCGGCAGCTGACCACTCCCCCGTTGGATTTCCTTCCTGCTGTTTCTTTGTGGCAGAGTTTGTTGGAGAGCGATGTGGAAAGCACCGCCTCGTCGCCGCGGGGGGCCAAGCGGTCTCGTTCGAGGCAGTCTGATATGGTGGAGACCGACGAGGAGGGAGTGGCACCGCTGGAGGTAAGGGAGTGCCAGCCTAACCAGGTAGACCAGACAGGAAACACGACCAGATGAGCTAATTCTACTTTATGGTAAAGCTGCATTAACGGAATCTTCCAGGTCTGAAAATACAATGCTCCAGCCATCTCTTTTACAGCCCAAGAAACTAGGGAAGGTCCCTTTCGAGTCTCTTTCTCCACCCATTATGCAGCTGTGGGCTATGCCCTCTCTTATCTGACTGTTCTTTTGGCAGCATCTCTCCCTCCCCCCACAACCCCCAAGGTTTGTCTCACATACCATTACAGGAAGGCCCCTTAACTTCCTCAGTCCTCTGCTTTTGTTCAACTTGCTCGTCCTGGTTCTTGCATTCACTGTTTTTCTGGATTTGTACCACCGCATAAACTCACCCAACTGGCTGGGTTTGTGCAGCAGTTGTGCCGGGAGCAAACCAACCAAGGTTAGCCCTAACCACATTTTGCATGTTGCACAAATGCAGCCGCTTGGTCCTTGGTCCCATAATATCTGCCTGGCTAATTCGATCTTGGCGCGCTCTGGGTTCCTTCCATTAAACAGTGTCATCTGTTGGGACCCCAGAAGTGTGCCTTCTCTGTCGTGGTGCCTGCCCTCTGGAATCAGGTTCTCCCTGAGATCCAGATGGACCCCACTCTGCTGTTGTTCAGGAGAGCCTTGAAGAGGTAACCATGAGAGCTGTTGATGGCTGGTCTAGATGTTTCAGTTTATTCACTCGCTTTTACAAGTCATTTGTGGTTGGCATGATCTTAGCTTTGCTCTTAGTTCCCAATAATACCGTGATGAAGGATAGTTGAAAAGACAAGACTTTTGAGTTTTCCAAAGTGTCACTCCTCCTACCTGCAGAAAGGATTACCGATAAATAAGGAATGGACAGAAACTTTAAAAACCCAGGGGATTATAATCACTACTTAAGCAGTTCCGCTTTCTGTTGGTCAGGCAGAGAAGGGTTCCACGCCTCCCGTCCAGCGGCACGTCAGTGCGGAAGTTATTCCGATGGGCCCGCCCCCGCCCCCCAAGCCGAAGCAAAACAAGGATAGCACTTTCATGGAGAAGCTGCATGCCGTCGATGAGGAGCTGGCCTCTAGTCCCGTCTGCATGGAGGCCTACCAGGTGAGGTCTAGCAAGTACCTTGGTCATACCGGTGGGAAGAGTGCAACTTCCACTCGGCCCGTTCCAAAGGGAGCTGAGCAGTTAGTATGTTGTAGGAGTCAAGTCCAGGAGGTCTTAAGAAGCCATCAGGAATGTCCCGTTTGTTAAATGGGATGCTGTCTTGTTTGAGGTGGGTCCTTTGAAAGGAAGGTGGGTCTGAACCTGATGCTGCCTAATCTGGCAGAGGGGGCAGTGACCTTCTGGAGCACCTGGGTAACACACCTTAAGACTCACAAGAATGGCTGCAATTTTGATTTTTTAGATTAAAAAGTGGGTTGCGGATACCATCTAGAGATGTTAAGAACATGCTGGCACTTTTCTTGCCCTAATTTCTTGCCCATTTTATATTTTCCCTGCTTGCCTTGAAAGAGCTGTTTCACCTCCCATACCCGGACATAAAAGACAGTTCCCAGATTGATAAAGTTTCTGGAGACTGTTTTTACGCAGGCTGTCGTTCTTAGGGAAGGCACCAATGCCGCCTCATTGGATTGTAGGAAGGCTGTAAGGAAGAAAATCAGAACGCCTCTGCTCTATTATTCATTCTGAATGGGAAATGGTTCAGATGCCGGAATTCTTGTAACCCCATCTTTTTCATCTCAATAAATCTTGTTAAAGAAGACTGTGAGAATTGGGCTTGCGAGAACCTCTTTCAATTTTAGATGCTCCCATCCAGCTTAACACTCCCTTTACTTCCCAGCCTTTGGAAGACAGCTTAATTGCCTTCCGCACGCGATCAAAGAGACCCCTGAAGGACGTGCCTCTTGGCCAGTTGGAGGCCGAGCTTCGTGCTCCAGACATCACTCCGGACATGTATGACCCCAATACAGCGGACGATGAAGAGTGGAAGAGATGGCTGAGTGGCCTAATGAATGACAACATGGAAAATGAAGGCATGAAGGGCTGGGCTGGGCTGGGGGGGGCGGGTCTCTGAATTTCACACCTGGGCTTGAAAGAAGGTACTGGTGTGAACTTTGGAAATATTTAGAGAGGAACTTTCACTTCCTCTTCGTTAGCCATTTTCCAAAGCATCACGGTGCGTTGTGATCCCTTGTTACCTTCTGAAATCTCTGCTGGCTGCTCCCTCTTAACTCCTCGGGACAAGGAGGAATCGGATTAGGATAGACTAAGAAGAGAGTGTTTCACAGAGTAGTTATTCCTTCTCTCCTTGAGGTAACCACTTTTTCTCCTCCAGACGAGGCTGATGACGAGGACGACCCCGAGTACAACTTTTTGGAAGATCTGGATGAGCCAGACACGGAGGACTTCAGGAATGACCGTGCCGTGAGAATCACAAGTACGTTCTCCTGGGGTAGCATGTAGCTCCCTCTGGTCAAGTCTACGGGGTTGTCATTGCACAAGGGGTCTTGAACCCTCAGTATCAGGATAACCATACCCATTATTCTTAACCACTTGCTTCTAAAAGATGGGAGGCTCTTTTAGGCTTTCAGAACCACTGTAGCGATGTGAGTCAGCCGAGATGGCGAAACTGACAGCTTTGGTCAGAGAAAAAACATGGGCTAACTTTATTATTTTATTTATTTCTTAAATTTATATGCCGCCCATCTCCCCCAGAGGGTGACTCTGGGCAGCTCACAATTAAAATCAAACACTAAAAACACTAAAAATATAAATATCCGTATTAAATTAGTACTAAATTAGTACTAAAAATAGTACTATACAAAAAGATTATGTACATAAAAAGTCTATAAAATTGGAAGCCCCTTTTGGACTTTTTCCAGGAAGCAGAAAAAAATGAAATGGTGGCGTATGGATTTGATGATTAATAAAATTAATGGACTATGGAAAAAAATCTATGTTAAGATGTAGTTTTAGAGTAAGAGGTTCTTTTATGTTTCATTTATATGTGTTGCATAAGAAGTCAGAAGTCATTTTTTCTGTATTTCTGTTTTTCTCCTTTTTCTATTTTTCAGCGCTTTCATTTTCTTTCTTTACCTCTAGCTTTCTTTCTATCCTTTTTCTTGATTACCTGTTTGTGTTAATTTTTATCCTTCCGCTTTTTAAAACTTAATAAAGCTATTATATTCAAAAAATCACTATGGCCAGCTTACAACCTTGTGGATAGTCCCCTATTGCATTTGCTAATTAGCTAGGTTCCAAATCTGTGGCTTAAGAATAATATTTTATTGAATGTTAAAGAAAATATGCGATCAAGCATAAAAAGAAGATAAGAAGAGGGAATCAGACATAAAATACAAGTGAACCAAGGAGGGCTTAGAAATGTCACAGAGGTTATAATTTTCCAGCACAGCATAGTTAGCTGTGAAGAACTGAGTGTGCTGTATTTCTTTAACAAACTAAAGATCACTATTAAACTCTCAACTAAGAAGGAATATCAAGAACTGTGCTCAACCCAGTATGAACCACTGAGTAAAACAGATAAATTAAATCGCTATTAGTAAGAATCTGTTTTTGACATCCTGTGCAATTAAAATACAGAGTCTATACCCAGGGAAATCCCAATTTTTGATGTGGTACAAATCCATCTATTAAGTGTGGGAACGGTTTCCAGTTTGAATTGAATTCTGCGTCTGATTGGCTTTTAAGACGTTCCAGACATCAAAGCCAGAAGATTAGTGATTGAATTGATGTGGTGGCAGTCAGAGAGCTGACCCTCTCTCTCTTTTGTGTCTTGCAGAGAAAGAAGTCAACGAGCTGATGGAGGAACTGTTTGAAACGGTGAGTCCTCTTTGCCTTCCTTTGGAATAAATCCAGGGAAGTCGCTGGTCCCCAAGGAGGCATCGCTTGCCGTGTTATAAAATCTCGGCTCTGTTGAGTTTCCCAGCTGCCCGAGGGCATCTCTGACTAGGGAGCTGTGTGTTTGTGCTCAGTTTCAGGATGAAATCGGCTTCTCTAACGTGGAGGATGATGGGCCGGAGGACGAAGACGGGGCTGCTGAGGCCCGGCCAAATTTTAATACTCCACAGGTGCTCAGGTAGGACAGTCTGGCCTGGCCTCTGATGTTAACGATTGTGTTAACAGACAGGGTTCCCCCAAAGGGTGTAAGAGGTGCTCCGTGGCGTCCTTGGGGCTCTCTGAGCTTGGTTGTTTTCTTGCAAACGTTTCATCACCCGACTAGGTAACATCATCAGTGCAAGGGAGGGTGGGGGTTGCTCACTGTTTAGAGGTGCTTCTTTAGGGAATGCTACGTTTCTACTTTTTCCCCCTACTTCTATTTTCAGGGAACCTCATTTCCATACATATATCAAGAGAGCATTTAGCTGTTGCCAATCACAGCCAGTCAGTAGCTTCGTGGGCAGGGGGGCAAGCGATGGTCCTTCAAACACCACTGAACTACAACTCCCAGCAGGCCTGGCCAGTAGGGAGTGATGTTGGGAGTTGTAGTTCAGCACAGTTTGCCCGGCCCTGCACTGACCCCGATGTAACTTGATTTGAGCTCTGGCTTAGCCTGTTTGAGTGGAGAGGTCTCCTTATTTGTGGGGCAGGGTGGCCGAAAGGAGCGGCGATCCTGTTTGGGAAGGGAGGCAGAGAAATGGCTGGGCCTTCGCCATCTCTTCTTGACCGAGCAGTATTAGAAGGGGATGGCAAGATCACCTCTGCCCAGCTACAGCCGGAGAACCGGGTGCGAGGAGAAGAGGAAGTCCGGTTTGCTTGTTCGGGGAAGGGAGAGGGAGGGGAAGATGCTCAGTGATTTTGGTGATTTGAAAAAGATGGGGAGCCAGTGGCCCTCCTGAGGATGAAAGTCATACCTTACCGTTTTACTTTTTTATGATCTTCTAACGTTGTCCGCTGTCCAGAGCCTTAGGGAGTTGGGCGGCCTTTGAAATCCAGTAATTAGATCCCTTACAGCCGGCAATCCCAGCCTGGCCCCCAGCAAGGTATGCTGGCTTGCTGTAGTCCAAAGCCCGCGATGAGTGTAAGACTGCCTTCTCCTGCTTCGCCATGGCCGCCCTTCAAGTCTTGATGGCCTCCCTCCACCTGCTCTTCTCCGGCTAACCCTACCCCATGGTTTGTCAGGCAGGGTGGTTCTGCAGGGGCTGCTAAACTGATTCTGGGAGCAGCAGAATCCAGGTCCTGGCAGTCTGGAGGAGGGGGGAGAAGAAGAAGGGCACGCCGCGGCCATCCCCGAGCCTCCTACCAGCACCACCTTGATCTCGCACAGGTTCGAAGAACCCCTCGCCAACTTGCTGAACGAGCAGCACCGGACAGTGAAGGAGCAGCTGGAACAGCTGCGGGTGAAGAAGTCGGCCACGAAGCTGCCCCAGGAGATGGAGAGGTCCAAGCTGCGGAGTGAGAAGGTAGCGCAGGCCCTGGTCCTGGACGCCGAGCAGAGGAAGAAGTTGCACCAGCAGATGCAACAGGTGCTGTGGGAGCTTGTCCCTCTCTGCCTCTCTCTCACGTGCCCCGATTCTCTCCCCCATTTCCCTCCCCGGTGAATCGACCTCTGCAAGGGGGGGGTCCCTCCCATTCCACAGAGCTCCAGTCGCCACCCGTAAGCTGCACACTCAAAACCTGGCAGTTATTTTCTGGAACCTGTACATGCTGACCACTAACCTCCTCTACCCAACCTTTATAGCACGTGCAACTTCTGACGCAGATTCACCTCCTCTCCAGTTGCAACCCGAGCCTGAGCTCCGAAGGCAGCACGACCCGCCTCTTCTTGGTAATTTCTGGCTTTCAAGGTGGAATGTGCTTTAAATTATCTTTTTTTAAAAAAAAATTGGCTAGGCCTTCCGTAGCATTGTTGGCAGAAAAGGCTGCGTTCTTCCTGAATGGGTTCAGCTCAGCTGGTTTGGTATAGATTCTGCACTTTGCCCTGGATCCAGTCCAGGTACTTTAGTTGGAGTGAGAAAAAGGAACCGCCTGCTTGAGATTTTAAAAAGATCTAAAGCGGTATCTTTCAAACTCGGCAGCTCTAAGATGCGTGGGGTCCCCTCCTGGAATTCCCCAGCCGGCATTTGAAAAACACTCACCAAAATAATTAAAGATTTGGTCCTGTCATTTGAGTGGCAGGGCTTTGAATCTTGCCCTGAGAGTCCAAAATGGAAAAAGTCAGGTTGAAGACTGAATATTTAACCATCATTAGACTGTTTGATCCAGATTCAGTGATGAGGAACCTGTGACACGTGTGTCAAAGGGGACAGGTCACAACGTTTTGGGCCACACGCCAGCGTTCACCTGTGACACGTGTGTCAAAGGTCACACGCCGCAACATTTTGGGCCACACGCCAGCGTTCACCTGTGAGATGTGTGTCAAAGGGGACACGCCACAACGTTTTGGGCCACACGCCAGCGTCCACCTGTGAGATGTGTGTCAAAGGGGACACGCCACAACGTTTTGGGCCACACGCCAGCGTCCACCTGTGAGATGTGTGTCAAAGGGGACACGCCACAACGTTTTGGGCCACACGCCAGCGTCCACCTGTGAGATGTGTGTCAAAGGGGACACGCCACAACGTTTTGGGCCACACGCCAGCGTCCACCTGTGAGATGTGTGTCAAAGGGGACACGCCACAACGTTTTGGGCCACACGCCAGCGTCCACCTGTGAGATGTGTGTCAAAGGGGACACGCCACAACGTTTTGGGCCACACGCCAGCGTCCACCTGTGAGATGTGTGTCAAAGGGGACACGCCACAACGTTTTGGGCCACACGCCAGCGTTCACCTGTGAGACGTGTGTCAAAGGGGACACGCCACAACATTTTGGGCCACACGCCAGCGTTCACCACCACCAACTATTCTCCCTGTTTGAGCTACCAAAGAAACTGAGTTTGTTTTACTCATATTTCATTTTTGTAATTATTTGACCTTTCTTTATATAATACGTAGCACCATGCATGATTGGGCTGTATTTTTTTTTTAAATAATGAACATTTCTCTTTTGTTCGGGGTGGGGGGTGACATGCCAGCAGAGCCAAGTCAGGCATTTTCTCGATTTTTGACACGCTGAGCCCAAAAGGGTCGCCCTCACTGAGATAGATAATGGCTATTTCGCCAAATGTTTCTCTTCAGCGTGTTGAGTTACTTGTTTATTCCTGCGTTGTGTGGACGCTTGTGTTTTCCTGTTTTTAATCATACTCAATTTCTGGTCAGGATTTGAGGCCTCATTCAGTTAACCTATCCAGCTGTTTGTCAGTCCTACGAAGAGCGATCAAGGAAGAAGCCGTGAGCTTTATCCAGTATAATTTAGATTGAAATGAAGTCCATTTCTGGAGCTTGAGGAAAACTGGGGGAATGAGTCCAACAGATGAAGACAACTGCCTCACCTGATATCCCTCTGGTTTCTGCTTTGCCCTGAGGCGTGGCATTCAGCTTGTTTCTCTCTTTCACTCCCCAGAACGAGTTGGACAATTTTGCCCAGAGCTCAGTCCTTCTCAGCCAGACTTCCAGCCCCCGATTCCAGACGGCTTTCCAGCCCTGCAACTTGAAGGAATCTCTACAGCTTATCAAGGACTTCCACACTCACGTCAAGATTGAGTGGAGTCCCCGTAAAGCCGTCAAGAAGAACAGTGAGTTTGTAGGCCTCTTGCGTTTGGGAGGTTGGGGTGGGTAGAAACGTGAGCCCTTCCATCCGTGGAGCCAGGCTATTCTAAAGACAGCATCTGCACTGCATCCTGAACCGAACCCAGACCCTTGCAATGGCGTGGGGGGATGTGTCAGTCAGGCACAGGGTTTGGACTGCGCTAAGATGCTTCAGAAAACCAGTTTGGCACCTAAGAGTGAGGAGAATTCTTGGAGTAAAGAAATAAGACTGTGGAGTCCTTGGGGTTCTCTGAGCTTGGTTGTTTTCTTGCAAACGTTTCGTTACCCGGCTAGG